TGTTTTAGATTCAGTTTCTGTATCCACTATGCAATTGGTGGGGGTGAATCTTCTAAATCTATAATTTCTATTGAAGTTATCGCTTGTTTTAAATGAACATCTTCCAATGAAACAGTAGTTGGTGAAGTAATTAATGTAGGTGGAAGCCAAAGTTTTAAATTGCTAGCATTAACAACTTGTTTAATAATTTTTTCTCCAAGTTGAAGCCTGTAAACTCCTTTTCCTAACTCGTCTATGATTTTAAAAGGACCTGTAAACCGCGCAGAAAGCTTGTCACCCATTCGTGTGTCACGACGACGGTTATATTTAAGTACCATTTGCCGACAAACACGACGTTTTGTCGTGTATTTTGTAAGGATTGTCCATGGGTAATTATAGGTTGAAGTACGTCATCGTTTTCATCAACAGAAGCCTCGCATATGTCTTTTTCTATATCGATTGGAAGACGAGCTTTTACTCCATACATTAGTTAGAAAGGCGAATACTTTACAGATGCTTGAAAGTTAATGCGATAAGCAAAAACAACTGGATAAATAAATAATTCCCAATCGTCACTTTTTTTAAAGTTTATTAACTTAAGCAAATGTCTGACCAAGGTTTGATTAAATCGCTCCGTCAACCTGGAAATCTAATAAGATAAAAATTTGTTTTATAATTATAGGAAAAAACTTGTTTAATATGATATAGTGTGTATATGTTGTTATAAGGACATAAAATTACCGTTTTAAAAATAATTTTTTTCAAGTTTTAATAACTATATAAAAATATTCGGCCATCTTGAAAAAGAAATATTTTTTTTTTTCCTCTCATATATTTATAATTGAAGAAACGTCGTTAAAAGGTTACGTTGAGTAAATTTATTTAAAATAATTAAATAATTAATTATGGAAAAAAAGATAAACCCATTAGTCTGAGGATTGTATGCAGATGTCATAGCAAATGTTATTTTTTTCCCGAATAGCTTTCACTTCCGCCCATTTCGTAAGATATTCAGTAGCTACACAAATATACTTTTTCCCTTTTTTTGTCTCTTTAAGAAGACCAATAAGGTCGATACCCCACCGATAGAAAGAATGCATCACTTTAACAGGATGCAATGATGAAGGACCTGGTTTGTTAACAGGATTTACAGCTTGACAAGCTGTACATTTACGTACAAAATCTTTGACGTCTGCTGCTATACAAGGCCACCAATACCGATCGGTTACTTTAGCTATTGTTGCGGATTGACCGAAGTGACATCCGCCAATAATTCCATCATGCATAGACTTTATTATATTTTTTTGTTGGTCTTCATCAATGATAACTCTTCCTAATTTGCTATGTACACTCTTACTCTTGTTATAAAGAAAATCTTTTACAATCAAAAAAGAAGTAGCTTTTTGCCGCAGTCGTCTTTTTTGTGCTTTATCGTAACCAGGTGGATACACTTTATTTAAAATATAATGTTTCAAATTCATATAAACTTCTTCGTCTAGTTTATTGTTTTTATCTTCAATTTCGTGTTGATTTTTATTTAATGTGGCTTCCATTTTTGAGACTGTTATACAACTAAATAATAATTTAATATTTCTATACTTTTTCTTCACTTTATTTTTAAATTAATTGCTCAGTAATAACTATTATTTACAATAATTTTTATAATAATTGCCAAAAATATTAGACAAAAATATTTTTAATGAGAAAACTACGTTGTATTGGTTCTTTGTCGGATGGCAAGACTTGCGAAAATTTGACATTATCTACCTAGATCCTTAAATGGTCAGCAATAACTATTATTTATAATTTTTTAATAATTAAATTATAGACAAAAAATAAAAACTGTTCTTAAAACCATCGGCAATAATCGATGTTTATCTAGGCTGATGCATAGGCTAAATGGTCGACGCATTGGCAGGCTGATGCCGATCCAACCCTACATATAATTGGCTCAGTGGAAAAGGTGCGTAGCCCACATTTCTTAAATTTCCATAGTAACCACTTTAACCCACTTTTAATGTGGTTTAAAGTAATCACCTGCAAAATTTCAAAAAGGTGGATTAGGCATTATTCAAGAGTTCCTCATATAGCGTTAGCATTATTATTAAATCCTAATATAAATACATTTATGACGCATACACTTTTTAGTCATTTCACGTTTTTTCATTTTTCATAAATCAGTAAGCTTCTAATCATAATACATCAAGGCGGAGAGTATGCATTGTAATGCAGTTTGAAATTCAAAAAAGCATATAATAATATTTATTTTGCCTTAAACTGCAAAATATGTTATATGTAAAATAATATTACTTAATGTTATAATATGTAATATAATATTTCTAAAAAACTGATCTGTTTGCTAAGCGTTTTAAAGTATTGATTTTAACGCTTAAAGACTCCCTTAAAATTCATTCTTCTAAGATTCGATGTATGTTTTAAATCAACTCTCTCTTGGTTTCTATTCTTGCCTTTTAATCAAAAGTCTTGAGCTTTCATGCTACAAGAAAACTATAAAATAAACAAAACACACATACATATATATATATATATATACATATATATATATATATATATATATATATATATATATATATATATATATATATATATATATATATATATATATATATATATATATATATATATATATATATATATATATACAGACTATGTACAAGTTATATGTACATGTAATTATTCATATGATCATTATTTATATATTAATTATATATATATATATATATATATATATATATATATATATATATATATATATATATATATATATATATATATATATATATATATATATATATATATATATATATATATATATATATATATATATATATATATATATATATATATATATATATATATATATATACATTATTCATTATGCGAAATTTTATTTTATTTTAAACATTAATTATGAAAAAAACAGGATAGACAGCAATCTAAATAAAAAATTTAAACTATTATGATCACATAAGAAAAAAAAGTTTTACAAAATATTAGGATTTACCTTGCGCTCAAAGCCAAATAATTTAAAAACAATTTAGGCATTTTTCTGGATATTTTGCCACTTGAGCCCAAGATAAACGTCAATGTTTTGGAATTTTTTTTTTTATTATATTCTTTTCACATTTGCCAAAAATATGGCTTCTTGTTATTCATGTTTTCAAAATTTTATTTTTTTGAACAATTATATATATATATATATATATATATATATATATATATATATATATATATATATATATATATATATATATATATATATATATATATATATATATATATATATATATATATATATATATATATATATATATATATATATATATATATATATATATATATATATATATATATATATATATATATATATATATATATATATATATATATACATATATATATATATATATATATATATATATATAATATTATATTGCAGTTTAACATATACAAATATCATAATGCTGTTTCTCAAATGAATTAGATCATAAGCATTTTTCTCCTGAAACTTTTAACGCTGCAGTGTAATAAATGTTTATCTCCACCTTTAAACCACCTTAATCTTCCCCGCAATTTGCATAAGTTGTTACAAGGGAGTTAAATAATTATGGGGAGTTAATTTGTTTTGCCGACAGGGGTTAATTTATTTAAGGGGAGTTAATCTATTTTGAAATAGATTAACTCCCCGAATAATATTTTACGCTACGGGAGTTAATTTATTATGGGGGTTAATTTATTTTATGACACCGGTCACAAGCTACATGAAATATTCAAATGAAATTCTATTAAGATTAGCTACAGTTGCATGCCTAACCTAAAATCTATCATAAATTCGTATAGTTTCAAAATTTTACACAACAAAAATCAATTAAAAATCAACTAATGTAACTGCATAGATAAAGCAAATTGCCCTTTCAACAATCAATGTTTATCAAACATCATTGTCTATCAAGCAACCGTAAGTTCCAGTCATCATGATCGTAATAAAAATGTTTATTTTTGCATTAGTAATACACCATTTAAACTAAGATACGCAAACCATCTCAAATCCTTTGCATCAGTTAAATATAGAAATGACACAGAACTATCTAAAGAAATATGCAGTTTAAAAGACCAAAACATAAAGCCCATTATAGAATGGAAAATTGTCAAACGTTGTAAACCTTACAATCTAGCAACAAAAATATGCCACCTTTGTCTCTACGAAAAATATGTAATTTTATCGCATAATGGAAAAAACCTAGTGAATAAAAAAAACGATATCGTATCTCAGTGTCGACATTCTAAAAAATTCCTATTCTCTTTATTTTACACAGTGAACTAATAAACTATAACGGCTTTTTGTTTTTTGTTTTTTGATTTATTTTTCACGTAGATTTGTTTATAACGTCAGATGTCATTCTACAGTAATTTTTACGTTTTTGTAACGGTTTGTTTACGTTTTTTGTTTGTATTAACGGCTGATGATTGCCTTCGGACATGAAACTTTATGTCCCGCTAATCAGTTGTTTTTGATCATCTAAATATGTATATATATATATATATATTTATATATATATATATATATATATATATATATATATATATATATATATATATATATATATATATATATATATATATATATATATATATATATATATATATATATATATACATATATATATATGTATATATATATATATATATATATATATATATACATATATATGTATACATATATATATGTATATATATATATATATATATATATATATATATATATATACATATATATATATGTATATATATATATATATATATATATATATATATATATATATATATATATATATATATATATATATATATATATATATATATATACATATATATATATATATATATATATATATATATATATATATATATATATATATATATATATATATATATATATATATATATATATATATATATATATATTTATATATATAATCTAAATAAAACAAATATCATACCAATCCAGAAGTTCTGATATATCATATTATCACTCTCTAGAATACTTGTAATAAATGAATTTTCTTCTTGATCTTCTATACTTAACAAATTTCCTCCTTTTGAGCGACATAATGAATAAGAGTCTATCCAATCATTTCCATAAAAAGTTTCGTATTCATTTTGAAACAAGTAACAATAATTTTTATAGCTTAACCAACCATTTGCACAAGAATCGTTATTTTCTAAAATAAATGTTATATGAATTTTTTAATAAGTTTTTAAATTTTACTTTTCATTGTTTTAAAAATTATTTTATAGATATTTGAAAATCATAACTTATAAAAAAAAATCTTTCTTTTAAAATATTCACAAATATTTGATATACTAATTTTAGAGACTGTTGATGTCTACAGGTACGATGGTGTAGTGCATTAGTAAGTACCTATTGGTCGTCTAGTTTTGTCTCGTTATGTTTTTGTTCACTTTCAAAGCGGGTGAATAGAAAGCTAAACACAATCAGTTCTTGCGCTTATGGATTAGCAAATCAGAGCCTGAAGTAAGACCTATACAATGGATTTTAATTGATCGAATGCACACATTAGTCACCGTAGGCCACAAGCCATTCATTCTAGGCCAAAAGAGCTTCTGCCCCGTGGTGTTATTTAATGATGTGCTATGAAGAGAGATTCTAGTTCCGAGAACATAGTCAGCGAGCGCTGATCCGACGTGCATTGTGAAGCTTTCGACTGAACGTCTGTATGAGTGTTAGTGTAGTCATTAGGTTATTGATCGCCGTAACCAGATCCAGCGGTATCGCCTAATATCCGTTTTGTTGATGATGGTGTAGATTGGAAAAAGTCGGGATTTACCAGCCACAAAGAATAATTTTTTTTTTATGCGACAGAGAGATCTAAGTAAATGGGAAAAAAAATGAATAAAAAATATGTTTATATACAGAATATTTTTAATTATTTATAATAAACAAAGCAAAATTCTTTTGAATAATGACATTGATCCCGATATAAATTTTTTTGAGGACGTCATAATCAACTTAAACTATTTTGATATTAAGGAAGTTTCTAACCTCACGAATGAGTCACAATCTTTATTTTCAATATTAACCTTAAACATACGTAGTATGAGTAAAAACTTTGAAAATTTTAAATCAATGCTAAAAAATATAAATTTTGAGTTTATGGTAATATGCTTAATCGAAACATGGTGCAAAAGTGAAAAAAATAACTTTCAAATTCCAGGTTATAAAGCTATTCACCAAACTCGAGGTGGTGGCGTTGGTGGCGGTGTATGCATTTTTATTCACGAGTCAATCCATTATCAGAAAATAGAAGTTCTTAGCATTCAAAATGCGAATTATGAATCATTAACTATTGAATTACTAAACCACAATAAAAAAAACGTATTAGTAACTGCTTTGTATAGACCACAAAGCGGAATTAAAAAATCTTTTCAAAAACACTTAAAATGGTATTTAAAAAAAGTAAAAAATAAACAAATTTACATCACGAAGGACTTTAACTTAAATCTTCTTAATGTTAAAATTGACAACGACGAAAAACATTTCTTAAACTCACTTTTTCAATACAACATTCTTCCCTTAATTAACAAGCCTACTTGTGTAACTCTTCTAACTAAATCTTTCATTGATAATATTTTTACTAACATTTTCACAACATGCAACATTCAAAGTGGAATCATAAAAAGCTATATAAGCGACCACTTTCTAATTTTTTTTATATCTGATTTTTATATAAAAGAAAAAAAAGCAAAGTACTAACGGAAATAATAAGGCAGATTACTGAATTTAATATCAATGAATTTATAAATCATTTACTCAAAGTAAACTGAAAACAACTACATAATTGTAAAGATACAGATAAAGCTTATGCATTTTTTTACAACTAGTTTCTTAATGCGTACGACAAAGCGTTTCCGATGAAGGAAAGTAAAACTAAGTGTAAAAACCTATAAAGTCCATGGATTACAAAAGGACTTATAAAATCTTCTAAAAAAAAACAAACTCTATGAAAAATATTTAAAAAAAAAAACTTATCAAAACGAAAAAAAGTATAAAAAAGACAAAAACCTGTTTGAAAACTTGAAAAAAAAAGCTAAAAAAAAATATTTCTCAACTTTATTACAAAATAATATTGGAAATAACAAAAAAACTTGTGGTATAATAAAGGAAGTGATAGGAAAAGAAAAGAAAACTCGTGGTAATTGTTTACCGAAATAATTATATACTGAGGATGAAAGAATAATAACTAGTGAAAAAAAAGATATTGCAAACAGTTTTAATAATTTTTTTATAAACGTGGGTAAAAACCTAGCCAACAAAATAACTCCAGGAAAAAAAAATTTTAAATCATATTTAAAAGAAAAGGACAATGTAATGGATGAGCTTGATGGTATCGCCTGATGAACTTCGCTTTGCTTTTAATATGATAAAACCAAACAAAAGCGCAGGCCTTGATGGTATAAGCCCTAAGGTTGTTAATGAAGCTTTTGATATTATTGAGAACCCCTTACTTATTATTTTTAATCTTTCATTTAAAAATGGCGTTTTTCCTGATCTCTGGTAGCTAGCGAGAGTAGTTCCAATATTTATAGATGGTGATATCTCAAAGTTATCTAATTACAGTCCTATTTCAATACTCCCATGTTTTTCTAAAATTCTAGAGTGAATAATGCATAATAGGCTTTACAACTATCTCACAACTTACAAAGTTTTAAATAATAATCAGTACGGATTTAGAAAAGGACACTTGGCAGAACATGCAGTAACTAAATTAGTTAAAGAAATATTAAATGGGTTTGAAAACAACCAATATTCTCTTGGAGTGTTTATTGACCTCTCTAAGGCCTTTGATACTGTGGACCATGCTATTCTTCTTTACAAACTTGAATTTTATGGAATCAAAAGTAATAATTTTAAGTGATTTTGTTCCTATCTAAAAAATCGCAAACAATACGTATCTTATGACAAAACCTACACTAAATTAAAAAACATTACCTGCGGAGTTCCACAGGGATCTATTTTAGGGCCTTTGTTGTTTATTATTTATATCAACGATATTTACTTATTATTTAGTATACTAAACTTTATTCCTTTTGCTGATGACACTCAAGTTTTTTATACTCACTCTAACATTAAGACAACCTTCACCACTATGAATAGTGAACTTGATAACCTTAATGAATGGTTTAAAGCCAACAAACTCTCTCGGAATCCTACTAAAAGTAAACTTACTCTCTTTTCCAAATCCTCTAAATCTGAAACGCTGCCTTCAAAACTCCCGGATATTTTAATAGAAAAAACTAAGTTACAACGGACATAATGCGTTAAATTCTTAGGCGTTTTAATCGATGAGCAAATAAATTGGAAAGAGCATATTAATCTAATTGAAAATAAAATTTCAAAAAGTATTGGAATCATGTATAAAACTAGATATATGTTGAATAAAAACTGTTTAAAATATATTTACTTTTCATTTATTCATAGCTAGATTAGTTATTGTAACATTGCTTGGGCAAGCACTTATCCGTCAAGACTAACTTGTATCTTAAAAAAACAAAAACAGACAAGCCGCTTTATATCAAATGTTAAAAAATACGCCAGTGCCAATCTACTGCTTCGTAAGCTTGGAGTACTGAATGTTTACCAATTAAATATCTATAATATTCTTTTATTCATGTTTAGATTAAAATATCATATGCTACCTAATATTTTGAAGACCTTTTCTTTATTATAGATCATAAATATCATACAAAGCATTCATTTCTTAATTATCAGGTACCAAAAACTTTGTTAAAACAATCAGAATTCTCAATAATTTACCAAGGGCCACATTTGTGGAACTCATTTCTCCTAAATAATAGTAAAACTACAGCTTCAAACCAAACTTTTAAAAGTATCTTAAAAAAACAGTTGATTATGACGTATCTCAAATATTATTTTATTTCTAATTTTTATTTTGTCCTCTCTTATTTTTATTTCGTTAACTTTTCTTTTTGTTTAAAAAGCGGCATCACACTTTATATCATTACTTATCTTTATATTTGTATTGTATTTAGAAAAAAAAAAAAAAAAAGGTATTTAATATTATTTTACTGAGATTATAATATATATAAACATGTATATGTTTAGATGTGTATGTGCATGTGTATATATGTATATGTATGTATGTGTACGTGTATGTATGTGTATGTAATAATTAAAGTTAAAACCATTTAATATTAACATAATAACGAAATTTAGAGATTTACAGGCCCTGTTAAACATTCTAAAACGAGTGAGCTTCAATAACTTTGATGACATAATTAACATGTGATGAAAGAGGCACTGAGGATGTGCACGTCATAAGTATTTAAATTTTCTTCATTATATTTTATAAACCTCTGAATATCAGTGTGCAAGTTATAATTATTGAATATTTTCTTATATCTAATTTTTGTTTATAGTTGTATTTTGTAATTTTTCAATCTGTTTATAGTAACTAAAGTTTGGCTTTATAATGTTTTATTTAATTTTATAGAAGCTGAAGATTACCTTATTTTAAATATAAGTTGTTTTTTTTATTTTTATTGCTTTTTTTTTGTTAGATACTCAATCATATTTTTTTCATGAATCTAATTATTTAGTACAGCGTTATAGTCTGTTAGTGATATTCAGTTTTTATTTACTTTCAAAATTTCAAATTTACTTCTTAAAAAAAATTAATTTTGCATTTTTTTATTTCCTAATTGTTTAAAAAGTAAATAACAATACTTATTTGATTGTTAATTTTAATTTTAGTGCCATAGCTTATCATATTTTGTAAGTTTCAAATTCGAATTTATCTTTATCTTTAGTTTTAAAGTTTGTATTTGTTTTAATGTAATAAAGTCAAACATTTACTTTGTTGTTTAAATAAAATGTTGTTTAGATAAAATATGTTTGATTTCCTAAGTTGCTGTGAATTTGCAGTTTGTATTTTTCTATCCAACGACATGAGTTTCAAAGTAGAGGGGCACAATAGTCGAATTGTAAATAAAGTATTCTATAACTAGAATAAGCAAAAAGATTTCCTCTCTGTTTAGTAAAGGGAAGGAATTACCATTACCAAAAGTGCATTTTGAAAAGTTAGAAAGAGCAGTAGAAAATACAAAACTATATCCTCAAATAAAAGAGGTATTGGAATGTATTTAGTTTTATATGTACATTTTTATTGATCTATTTTTAAGTTTTGTTTGTAAATAAGTATATTCTTTCGAATATACCAAATTTTTTTCTGTTATTATTGATTTAGTTAAAAATTGAGTTATGTTTCCAAAACATTTGTTGAAAGTTGTACGTTTTGTTTTTACACTAAACACTATCAGAGTTTAAGTCAACAGAACATGCAAAATATAATAATGATTTGAGAGCTGCTGTGACAGTGTTTATTCATTCTACATGTCTAAATAATATATTACCATTAAAAATGTATTGAATACTTTATTAATTTTTATAATAATCACCGGTTATCACCGGTATTCATAGTTTATTAAGTACTTGCATTATAAAAGAACTTTTAATGACCTTTAAAAAATTTAATGAACTTATTATGAAAGAAATTTTTTACTGTGTATGTTCTTCATCGATGTGTCCTTATCTGTTTATCGATGTGTCCTTATCTGTTTATCGATGTGTCCTTATCTGTTCAGGAAAATATTTTTGTTTTTAATTAAGAGGATCATACTTTAAAAAAATTTAACATTTTACTACATTTTTTTTTTATTTTTTATTCCATTTTACAACTTATTACCTTGTGATGGTAGAATTCTTTTTTATGTTTTTAAATTTACCTTTACACTTAAGTGTCGTCGGTTTCCAGTTAGGTTAGCATACTCAATGACCATCCGCCTATAATGAATAGCCTATGAATATTATTAGTGCGCATAGTTACGCATTGTTACGCCTATTGTTCGTTTTGTTAATTACGGTTCTGCATTATGTAAAATACACTATTTCTTTGCCTCTAGAATTTTCTAAGCGCAGTTATATATTCCACGCGGTCATTCGAGTAAAATCAGCAAGCAAATTGGAGCTAATACACCTATTTTCAAGAAGAATTAATGTTGTTTATTTTTTAAAATAAAAATTTAAACAATTGTTAGTTTGCTATGTATATATATATATATGTATATCTATATGTATTTTCTCTTAGCAAAAATAATTGAGAATAGGAAAATAAAAAAAATTTCTTCTGGAATTTGTCAAAAGGGTATTGTGTTATTCTTCATTTTAAGGTATCTAAATATGTATTTATTTTTCATTTTTTAGAATAAGTTAGAACTAAATTGACTGGTAAAATAGTTTTTTTAGTACAATGTTTCTTTTTTAAGAAAACAGTTTTGTCGTTAGTCTTTTTAAAACATTTTAAGCAGTATTTGTTTTATTTTTTAAAAGCTGATCGCTTTTTTAGTAAGTTCAAGTTATTTTCTCATACATAAATTAAGGTTTTCGATTTATTTCAGTCTATTTTATATTTCTCTATATCTATATATTATATATATATATATATATATATATATATATATATATATATATATATATATATATATATATATATATATATATATATATATATATATATATATATATATATATATATATATATATATATATATATATATATATATATATATATATATATATATATATATATATATATATATATATATATATATATATATATATATATATATATATATATATATATATATATATATATATATATATATATATATATATTCTCTGAGGAAAAATAATAAGGAATAAAAAAATTAAGAAAATTTCTTCTGGAATTTGTCAAAAGAGTGTTGTGTTATGCTTCATTTTAAGGTATCTAAATATGTATTTATTAGAAATTTTTTTAAACCAAGTTTAAAAAAGTTGTTAAACCAAGGAAATTATAGAGGTTTATTTATTAATATATACTATAAATTATATAATAATATTGGAGGGAGTAAGTTAAAAAACATTTTTAAATTTTCAAAAAGAAATAAAAATACTTTTCAATATATATCTGTTTTTTTTGAGATAGATTTAAAGTTTCAGGTTTTCAAAATTGTAGATCTTTTTAATGTATAAATAGACATTAAGTATTTCTAAGTAGACATTACGTATATATGAAATCTTTTTAAAATTTAATAAGTAATTATTTGTTTAAATAAGTATTTAATTGTTATAATTTATTAAGATTTAAATTATTAGAAAATTCATGTTTACAGAGTTGTTATTAATCATTATCGAGTTGTTGAACCAAAGTAATTGTAGAGGTTTATTTATCAAATATATACTATATACATTATATAAAAAATTTTGGTTTTCATATGCTTTCAATAATAAATAGTTCTATATATATATATATATATATATATATAGATATATATATATATATATATATATATATATATATATATATATATATATATATATATATATATATATATATATATATATATATATATATATATATATGTATATATATATATAGATATATATATATATATATATATATATATATATATATATATATATATATAATATATATATATATATATATATATATATATATATATATATATATATATATATATATTTATATTTATATATATATATATATATATATATATATATATATATATATATATATATATATATATATATATATATATATATATATATATATATATATATATATATATATATAAAACTATATATATCCTTGGAGTTGCGGCAGCATAATAGTGTGTTAGGAGAAAAAAATTTATAAATCCGCGTTAATAACCTGTTTTCTATTGTACATAATGCATTAATAATGCATTAATAAGTTTTATTACGTGTTTTGTTCAATGTTTTCTCCCAACGCATAAACTATGACGCTGTCGCAATATTTTTTTTTTTTTTATTAGAAATAAAATAAGTTTTAATAAGTTCTTGCTGATGTGGTTGCAGGTTTTTCTTAACTTCTATTAAATAAACTTAAGAAACCTGTATTACTTTTGATGATGGCAAATTAATTTTATTTTGCATTTGTTTGGTTTCTTTATATATATTTGTTTTGAAATTTTTTTTTTTAATTTTTCGAATATGATTTTTTTACTTATTAAGTTTTTTTATTTTATTGTTAACTTTAGATTAGTAAAAAAAAAAAAAAGTAATTAGTGTTGCTTTGATAAATATGTTTAATGAAAATGATGACATTGAAATGGATGATAGGCTAGATGTAGTTTTGTATTTACAAGATGATGTAAGTGCTATAGGGCGTGTTGAAAATAATCGTAGACGAAATGAAAGAAATAGACTTAGGCAAGTGAAACTAATTGTTTATAAAATGAAAGAAATAGGCTCGATCGAGATAATGTTAATCGTCACCAAAATGAAAGAAATAGGCTCCATTGAGATAATTTTAATCATCGCCAAAATGAAAGAAATAGGCTCTATCGAGATAATGTTAATCGCCGCCAAAATGAAAGAAGAGCTGTTGGACAAGGACGAATGTATTCTATATCGAGAAGTAATGCTATTCCAGATTATAATTATTTAGGAGAAATGAATCAAATTTGTCAGCACTGTGGTGCTAAGAAATGTCCAGATGAAACACATTTTCTATGTTGCCATAATGGTATGGTAGCTTTGCCTCCACTTTCACCAATTACACAAGCTTTACAGGATTTGTTTACAGGGAGTTATGTAGATTGTAATGCTAATGCTAATTTTTTATTCGAAATTATAATGCCTGCCTTTCTTTTGCTTCTTTTACAGCAAATGCAGTTCAACCAATGAATCATGGGCTTCCATGTTTTAAAATATGTGGCCAGATTTTTCATCGTGTAGGTAATCTTAGGCCAGATCAAGATGTTCCACCAATATATTCTCAACTATATATTAATGATCCACTTGCTGCACTAAATTTTAGAATGCAACACTATGCTAATGATCTTTGTTTACGTGATTTAATGTTTCAATTGCAAACTATAATTATGGAAAAAAGTCCATTTGCTCTTGCATTTAAAAACATGGCTGAAGTAGAAGATGAAGAAATTCGTAAGGCGGCTATAGAAGGTCGCTTAGCTTCTGTTGTAAAAATGTCTTTACTTGAAGGCGGTGATAGACGTCGTTATAATCTACCTTCACATGATAAAGTTGCAGTTGTATTTGTTGGCGAAGATGGTGCTCCCCCAATTTCCAGGGAAGTTGTTATTTAACCAAATGGTCATCCTTTAAAAATTGTATCAAGTATGTCAGCCAACTTGGATCCTATGGTTTATCCGCTATTTTTTCCAAGAGGTGATGCTGGTTGGCATAATCAATTGGTGCATAACCCTGAGCGTGCCACACTGGTTATAAATCATGTTACATTATCTCAGTTCTACAATTATAGACTTTCTGTTAGGCAAATTTTCTGTTCATTATTTTATGGCAAGAAACTATTTCAGCAATATGCTGTAGATGCATATGTAAAAATTAAAGGCCAGCGTCTTGCTTTTATCAGAAATAATCAAAATAAGCTGAGAAGCGAGCAGTACGATGCCTTACATGAACATATTAACAACATTGCCAATGATCGTAATATTAGACCAGGACGAGTAGTAGTTTTGCCATAATCTTATGTAAGAAGTCCTAGAGCTTTCAAAAAAAACTTTGAAGATGCTATGGCAATTATTAAAAAGTATGGTAAACCAGATCTTTTTATAACTTTTAAAACAATTATTTAGATAAGTATATATTTATATGTTAACATTATTTTATCGAATATTATATATTTATTTAAGTATATATTTGTCTTTAGTGTCAGGTGGAAGTATAGCTGGTAGGATTGTGTTTTATATTTTATATATTTTGTATGGAGAAATATATGCAATAGGTAAAAAAAATTAATTAATAAATATGACATTTTTGAACTGGTTGCATTATTGCCCTATATATTTATTAAAATACAAAATATTGCATGTTTAACCCTTATTAATTTGCTCTCTTTTTTTTTTTTTTTTTTAGCATCTTCTGTTTCGAATGAAAATGGTGAGGTTATGCTAATTTTTTTTTTTTTTTTAATTGCAAATGTATAATTTTTATTATACTTTTCTATTTGTAACTTTAGATTCCTTATCATTCGAACATTACCAAAATTATCGCTCCCAACACCCGGGACCTCTCTCAGAGAGGTCCTTCAATAAATGGAAACGTAATGGGGGTATGGATGAGCCCTCCTTTAAATGGAGGGCTTATCCATACCGGGGTGTTGGGAGACACCGAAAAAAAAACAGCAACCAAAAGGTTGTAAATGTCTTCTATCAGTAGAGATATTTATGACTTTTTAGTTGCTGCTTTTTCTTCGGTTTTTTTTTTTTTAATTTTGTAATTTTTTGTTTCGGTGTTTTTTTTATTATAAATTTGTAATTTTTTTTTTTTATATATTACGTTGTATATTTGATTTGTTTTAATCTTTTTAATAAAATTTTTAATTGTCTTCTCACCAATTAAACCTGACTTCAAATTTAAAGCCCTCTTAAATACCCCTCCCTAAATTCTAAAGTCGAAAGTTGAATTGATTCATTATCCAATTATCATAATATAATGATGCTGCATTCTTTTGTTGAAAACAATTATTTGGTACTGCTTTTAAAATTTACCAAAACCCAAGGCAATATATTTAGCTATATAAATACAATTTATTTATCTCGATTCCATTCTTTATCTTTTATGTTTATAGTTTGGCTCCTTAAAGCATTTTATGTTTTGCTCTTTTTATTATGAATATTTTAAATCCGTTGTGATGCCTTTTAAATTAAACTGAAGTTTACTAAAAGCAAACATAAAAATTACGTTTTTAAACACACCAAAAAGAACAGCTGCATCCCAACAGCAACTGCTGCAGTATCACAGTAGGTTACCAAAAGCAGGTATACTGTTTTCCAGTTGTTGTTTTTTTTTTCCATATATATCTACTTATTTATATAATACTATAGTACGATTGTTTATATCTCATTCATTTTTTTTTCTTTATCTTTAAGTGTTAATAATTTTATTCTTTGAATGATATTAGTTAAACAAGTCGGCTTTTCATTATAGATATTGGTTTCAAAATTGAACATCATTAGCAAAATGCTTACAAAATTAGGTAGTTTTTAAAAGTCTGTTTTCTATTTAATACACTTTTTTTAAATATACTTTTTTAATATACTTTTCTATAACAATTCTACTAATATGGAATCACGTAGCTTTTTAAATATGTTTAATTGTCGTCCCTATCGGTAATAAATACTTTAAATTATTTGATACGTTTTTCTTTACAATAGGCTATGCTGGGCTCCTCGGTGCTGTAAATGGTGGCTTCAACTTTGTTTTTTTTAAGAAAAATGTGTTTTATATTTACTTCTGTTTTAAAATATTTTTGTTACATATTTAACTATATATCATGTAAATAAATTTCTTTTAAAGATAAGTAAACTTGATACTTGCTTTTTACGGATTTTCAAAAAGTGAACAAAGGTTTAAATTTATTTTTTAACTGTCTTTTATGATTTTATCAATTTTATTAAAGCTGAACAAATACTTCAAAAATATTGAGTAAAATCCAATTGCTTTTATTATTAACCTGATCTATACAAAAATTAATGAAATAAAACTAATAGTCTAACGCCAAGTTAAGGCAAAATGTGTTTTATAAAATTAGTATAAATATGGATTGGATGTATGCTGAAATAAATATGTTGATACACTTAAGCTATTATAGTAAATCCATATATTCCTTTGTTTTTTATCAACAAGTTTCTGCTGGATTACTAATTAAAAAAAAGGTTGGTTTAAATAATAATCTTTATCATAATATATAGGATCCGTATGCAGGGTAAGCCCTTTTCGGAATTGCGATATATTTTTCAACTTATAGTTTTTCCGGATATCCAACTTCTATGCCTACAAGTTTGGGTGTAATGTTTTAGATGTTTTAAAAATATTTAAAAAATATATTAATAATATTTAAAAGGTTGAGGTGCGATAGTGACATATTTTTAAGCTCTTCACTCAGTAAAATGAAAAGTTTAAAAAATAAAGAAACAGCTCAGCTTAAAGCAAAATTAAGAGTAGAATATATTCCCAATATTTACCTAAACAATTTTACGGAATTTGAAAATTTGACATAAATTTTCTGTGCATATAATTCAAGTCATTTTATTGTTAACTTTATCTTTAATGAAGCTAAGAGTTCTCTTAAACTAAGAAGCCAAGAAAAATAAAAGTGAGCTCAACTAAAAAAATGTATAAATAAATTTATATTTCATTAGAGAAAGTAAATAAAGATCAAATTGTTAGTAATGATTTATTTACTACTAACCCGTATTACGGGTTGCTTACTGTAAAAATAAATTTATATTTTATTAGAGAAAGTAAATAAATATCAAATTGTTAGTAATGATTTATTACTACTAACCCGTATTACGGGTTGCTTACAGCTAGTAAATAAAAGATCACTTGAAAAAGTTGGTCTTTATCTAAAAAATTCTTGCTTTTATAGATAAAGACCAACTGTTATTCAGTTTATATAAGTTCATATTAAGTTGTTTCTATGTGAAAAGTGATCTTACTTAACAACATGTTGTGCAAGATTGTGATCCTTGTCAGCCAAGCGGTGTTACTAATTAGTGGTGTTAATTGGCACCTAATACAAAGTGTTGTTACTAAATTGCGGTGTTACTTGGCAGCATTTAGTGCCTAGTGGTGATACAAGTGTTGAGCTAGGTTGTGTTAACTGGCATTTTTAATTATTTTGGCACCACATAATATGAATATTTTGTGTTATGCGTACTTACAAATCTTTTATGCAATGTGTATTTAGTAGCATAGGCAGAGTATTTTGATCCTTCAGATAGTACTTTTAATTAAACTTGAGTGCGTTCACGTTTATCCAATTAAATTACTTTGCGAAAAATTGATGTTGTTAAAGCATGGAAAAAATAGGTTTAAAAATAGTTTTTTTCATAATTTTTTTAAACATACTAAAGTTAAACTCTTCAATATGTTCTAAATACATATTTAAAACAACAAAAATCCTGCCTACACTACTAGTTTTATTGTTTGTCATCCTGTAATGTTATTGTGATGTTTTGCGTTGATAGACAGCTTGTCTTACCTTACGTTAGTGTCTATTGTTAAAAATAATTATTGGATAGCTTCATTACTTAAACTAACTCCTAATCATTCACTAAAAGCCAAGAAATATTTTTATAACAAATGCCTAATTTTTTTGTGTCTGTGTGAGTTTTTATCTTTATGATTGATGATAAAATTGAGTTTTTTTAAAAAAGAGTATTTTCAGGTTTTCAATCAATTATTAAAGGTTTTTACAAAACACTCTCAAAATATAAGAGTCTAAATTATTATATAATATTACTAAAATTTGTTTCGTATTTTTCATTTTTCAAATGAATTAACATATTACATATAAATGTGCATTCAGTATTATCAATAACCACCCTCTGTTGATTTATGCCACCGTTAGTGTGGATAAATCAACAGAGTGTTTGGGTTGGACAGGTTGTCTTGAACTAATTGATTTATCTTCATGTTAAGCTCCAAGTATAAATATACAGAAATGGTGCATATGTAAATATTTTTTTTTTAGCTCATAATCTATTGTTCACTATAAAATATTATAGGGAGAATTAGAGACAAGGTTAATGTGGAATAGAGTTTGTATTTTTAGCTGAAAAACTAACTATTTTATAATTTTCTTAAAAGATCAAAGTATATGGAAAAGAGGCGTATATGAATTTTTTTGGCTCTTTTTGCTTGAACCCTGCTTTTTAAAACTGCTCGACAAGCGTCAAGAAATTTATTTTAAAATTTTTAAAATTATTTTATTTTATAAAATAATATTGAAGTTAGTAATCAAACATTGGTGTTGAATAGGTTAGTATATGTATGGTCAATTTGGTAAAAACCCGTATCTTAAAAGTCCAGGAAGATAGGATATATAAAATTATAAAGCGTAGAAAAAGTTGGTGTGGACTAAAGTTACAAAGACCCGTATTTTACGGGTCATGAAGGCAAGTTTTTATCATTGCTGTATAAATCAAATAGTAGCCTAAAGAAAATTTAAATAATAATTATTAAATATTATTTTTTATCAATGTGAAGTAATATTTGCATCTTTTTTTATTATCAATTTAATTTTTTTTTTTTTTATAACTGAATATGGTAATTTTATCAAAAATTTATGTGTGATCTGTTCACAAAAGTGTAATGTAAAAATATGCTATAACTTATAATATTCAAAGTAATAGGAAAGTCAAAATTACAAAAACAAATTTGTTGATAAAAAATTTGTTTTTGTTATTTAACTATTATTTTTCAGTTTACAACATAAAATTCTTTTAAAAAAATTAACACTTCAGCGTACTAACAATATAAAGTTTAATGACGTATTTGTCAACGCAGGTCTAAATTTAGCATCCAAACTAAAACACAGTGATTTTAACAAGGAGAAATACTTGACTCCTAGCAAATCAATTATGGAAAATGCGGAGTTAACCGAAAAAGAGTTATTAGATGCTGTTCTTTTATTAAAATTAAACAAATCACAAGGAGTTGATAACATTAGCAGTAATGTCATAATTAAATGTATCTTCTATATTACAAAAATCCTTTTGCATATATTTAATCTTTCGTTTAAACAAGGAATCTTTCCAAAAATACTTAAAATTGCAAGGGTAATACCAGTTTTTAAATCTGGAGATAATACTAATATTTCTAATTATAGACCTATTTCCATACTTCCTTGCTTCTCAAAAATACTAGAACGCATTATGTATAACAAATTATATTCATATTTAGAAAAAAATAATATTCTATATAACAAACAATTTGGCTTCAAAACAGGACACTCTACTGATCATGCAATTCTTCATCTTGTTCAGATTATTTTTCAAGCTTTTGATAAAAACAAGTTCACTTTAGGTGTTTTCATAGATCTAAGTAAGGCGTTCGACACAGTTGATCATAGTATTTTAATTAAAAAATTAGAGAACTACGGTATCAAAAATATTAACATAGCTTGGTTTAAAAGCTACTTATCTAATAGAAAACAGTATATTTCATTCGGCAATAAAAAAACTAACAATATGACAATTACTTGCGGCGTTCCTCAAGGATCTATATTAGGACCACTCTTATTTTTAATTTATATTAATGATTTAAGCAAAGCCTCTAATGTTCTAGATTCTATCTTATTTGCTGATGACACAAATTTATTTTATTCTCATAGTGTTATAACAGCATTATTTAAAAC